TTAAAGGTAAGCAGGTCTCATGAGAGATGAATTGCCAGATTAAGGATCATTGGGTTGTAAAAATTTTGAGCTAGGAAAGCATTCCATCATTTTATTGTTGATACAACTATGTACTGAAGCCCATTATCAACCCATTTATTTCACCTTAGAGAGCTATAATATACACATTGTCCATCAGTACCAGTACATTAATTCCCACTTCTGGGATTCCCAGCCTACTCTTAGCTTCAGTGTTAATATGAATATTTCACGGTAGAAGGCACAAACTTTGAAGACAGGCAAAATACTTTCTTGTGTGTTTCTCCTACTTGCATTCAGACTCTGCACATACTGTGAGTCCTTCATAAATATTTATTATATGGAGAACAGGTATTAATGAAAGAATCTCTCTATTTGGAAAGCATTCAAGCCCACTGTGTCAGTCTCCAAAGTTGGCCCTTCAATGAGCCACGTATCTCAGTATTCAGACTTGTGTGTATTCCACTCGTCTTAATTCTCTACTGGCTCTGTAACTTCATTACAACCAGTAGAATGTGGTAGAAGAGATGTCATATGACTTCTGAGGCTTGGTGAAAAGCAGATTTACAGTTGTTCGCTGGGCCTCTTGGAATACTTACACTGGAAGAGGGCAGCTGCCATGTAAGCAGTTGCACTCCCTTGGCACCACTATGCTGTGAGGAAGCCCAAGCAAGCCAAATGTAGAAAGGTGCCTCATCAAGCCCTTGGCTGTTTGGTCACCCCAGTCCAAGTTCCAGTCATATGAGTGAGGAAGCCATCTAACATGTTGTGCCCAACTGAGTCATCAGATGCCTCTGGCCCAGCAGACTTCTGACTGTAAACACATGAGAGACTCCAAGCAAGAATCACCTGGCTGAGCCCAGTAAACCCACAGAACTTAAAGGTGATAGCAAGCTATTGTTTTAAAGCATCTAGATTTAAATTGGCTTGTTATACAGAAGTTGTAATTTGTTGTTTTATTGGACACTTGCCAAGCCCTTTGGCAAGAGAGTTTAAGGTACCAGGAACTCCAGCATCGCAGAGTGCAAAGTTGTGAGAATGGCAAACATAGTGGTCCCACAGATCACTGGGAGTAAGAGTAATTGAGGTCATTCCTGATTCCACTTCTTGTTCCCCAGACTCATTCATTCTTCCTATTAGGGATACAGAAACATAGAGGTCTCTGATTTAACACATACACTGTACCCACAAGTATAGCAAAACAGCAATGCATGGCCTTCGAGCTGTCCTTTCAGCTTTAGTAAGGATATTCCAGCACTCTATGAAAGTTTTTTACTTCTAGAATGTGGTATCTGATTCAATTATGGTCCTGGGCCCACTCCTGCACCTTCTTTGTCATAACGTTGGTTCCCTAGTTGCATGCCATGTTGTGTGGGATTCCATATTTGTGCACCAAGAATTTCCTGAGGCCATGGACAGTAGGGTTACCCGAGGCTCTGCAAGCAGAACAGACAGACACCTGTCCAGAACATGGCTCTATCCCTGTAATAAGGAACTGCTCACCTTTCCAGTGTGGGAAGAGCTCTATATAGCTGATTTTCCTCCAAGCTGCTGGTGATGTATTTGAGGAATATCTCAACATTCAACATTGCTCTCTATTGCTTGAGACTGGAAATTGAGAGGTAGCAATGGCTTTATCAATCATGGTAAATGAGATTCCATGCTGTTGAATCCATGCATTGCCTTTATAGCTATTTATGATATAAACAAACTATTCATATGCTTCTCACGTCAGTTCCAAGTGGTCTAACACTGAAAGCCAGTTAGCATCAATTGATGGAATCAAAGTCTATTTTCTTGTTTTGTGCCATTTTCATGGTGGATACTTTCTGATGAGTATTAACACAGGATACAAACATCTTCATACTGCGTCCACTTCCATAAGTCCATCCATATGCCATTACCCAGACCTCTTTATCTTTAATCTTCCAATTCTTTATCTTCTAGGCTCCTGACCAGCTAGCTAGGCCATGAACTATGTTTATATATATATACACACACACACACACACACACACCTTGGGCCTTATCCTTCCATACAAAATAAAGATTACAGAGCACTGCTCACAACTCCACAGTTGGGAAGATTTTCTCTTTCCATTGTCTTTTAAGGCCACCTCTGACTATCACTATAAAGCAGTGTTGTACTGTTTCAGATTGGCTACATAAAACAAGCAAATTCAACTCCAAGTCAGGTTCAAACTTTTCCTTTACCCTTCAGCTAGTCACTCACCCACCTGATACAGTGATAGGTGCAAGATGTGGGAGTGGCACTGGTGCAATTGTGGCAACTCTCCTGGCAGTCAAGGTTACTCACTCATAAAATTCTCTTGTGACCTCTAGTCCAGGTTAGGCTCAATTCCAGATGAACTATTTCCATTTGACAATGGAGTGCTGGTAAATTCATTCAACTTTATGACTGAGCAGCTTCTAACTAACCTAGCTCATAGTGGTTATGCTCAAATTTAACCTAGTGATCAGCCTGGGGACCAAGAGAGGAGGGGAGTAGTTTCTGCCTTTCAGGAAGAGGACTTTGCAGCACCTTCTTGCACAGGGAACATGATGTTTCTTATTATAGTGCACCTCCTATGCAAACTGTGAGAGTTCAGAGCAAAAATTCTGAGGAGCATGCATCCAGATAGCCCTATATCATGTTTCAGGATTCTGTATTTTTCCAACCAGGGCCCCATTACCACAGCATAACAGATCTTTCCTGACTGAGCATTTCAGCATATCTGGAGCTCTACAATTCTATCAAATCCTACGTGCTCTTCAGAAGTGTCCGCCCCTCCTCTGTAGAAGATAAAGGTCTTAGTTTTTAAAAGAGGCCCTGTGGTTCTTACTACAACTGTTTATGAATGCTGTCACTTCTCATTATCCCTTTTCAGAGTTTTATTATAATTTAGCAATAAACAGTAAACTCTGCTTTTTACAGGCATTATTTAACTGATACCTTTCAAATGCCTGAGTCATTGCATCTATGAGGGAATTTTTTTTACCAAGACTTCCCCAGCACCACAACCACCAGTGAAATCCTGAGACCCCATATTGTGGTAAGAACTATCAATTCCCCAAATACCGCCAAGTGTGTGGTCTCCTTGGCCAGCAGTGTAGTGAATAAGTCAGTCCTAAGTCACATCTGTTTTCTTGAATAGTTCTTGATACCAACTGAATCCGTTTGAGCCCTCTAAAACTAAAACAAATGCTAAAACAGGATCAGAGCCTCATATAAAGAACATTGAGGAGGCAATTGGAGTTGGCAGCAAGGACAGGACCTTCAGACTATGATGCAGATCCGACACCGACAATAGGGGAGGAGCAAGTAAGGAAGACTGCTCATGGAGTTGCTGTCTGTAACACACTTCTAACTGTTTCTGCCAGGCAAATGGGCAAATAGGCAGTAGACATGGCAAAGTTTCTCATTAGAGGAGTCCCGCATTCTGCAGGGATGAATTGGCACTGGTAACTCCAAAACCCAATCACTGATGTGGAGCAGCCTGGGAATGTGAGGCCTCAGGGCAAATGCAATCCTGGATCCAGAGGGATAATATATAGAGCTGTCAGCTATGTTCTCCCAGGTCGGTGCTCTTGAACCCTGAGTGGGATATTTTAGTGAATCACCAGTGACACATCGGTGTCTAAACACAGTCTCTGCTCTTGACAGACTGAACACTCAACAGTGGATAAGGCCTGATAGACCTTGGTAAGTGGAAGCCCATGTTGCTGAGTCCATGACAACCCTTAAGCATACTACTTTGTTCATTAGCCCATTGAGCAAGGGCCATGTGTGGCAAAAGTTGGCTGATACTTATAAAATAGATTATCTAATCCATCTAAATATTAAGATCTTTATGAGGCTGATCTTCATGAGAATTCATATGGGATACATAAATATTTTCACACGTTATAACCATTCTGAAGAGTCATTCCAAATACCTCTTCCCCAGGTTTCTAATTCACCAGTTAGCCAATTACATTCCTCCAAAGTTTCTGTCCATCTAAACACTTTGTTCTGTCCATATGTCTTCCCAGGTAAAATGAACCACCAGGTGCTTGAAGATTTTCCAATGGGAGGATTTCCTTTTGTCACTGCCCTTTCAGGCACACCCCTGTGTTGTCCACTTTTGTAATATTATGCGGAACAATTTGCTAACCAAGCCTAATGATTTTTCCTCAGTCAACTGGTCATAAGAAACTCTCACTGACTCCATCAGTGTAGGCTAAAATAGATGAGGCAATGCAGCAGAATTAGGAGCTACAGTGATCTGAGCCACTTGACATTATCATTGTGTGCCATCAGTACTTGCTTTACCACTCCCACCCCTGCACATGCCCAACTCTATGGTTTGGTGATTCAAGCAACATGTACATCATGATGGGCATTTCTCAGGATAACTTGGTGGTCCAAAGCCAAATACTTTGCCTCTTCTAGGACCCTGTAAAAAGCTGAGAGCTATTTCTTAAGGGGAGAACAGTTATCTGCAGAGTGTGGCAAGGTTTTGCTCCAAAATCCTAAATGTCTTCTCTGTTACTCATTTAAGAAATCTACCAAAGGCAGCTGCAATTGTATTCATCATCTAATCAACTTTCCAGTAATTCTTTGGCTATGTTAAGTACTACTGAATTGTATCTTTCACATAAACAAAGTGGTGGGGAAGCTTGCATAGCAATTTACTGCAAAGCCTTCTCTTTCTCTAGGCCCTATTTAAAATATTAAGTCTTTCACATTACTCAGTAAGCAGGTCTGGGCTATAACAACACATCCAAATGAGATACATGTCACTTCCAAAACCCACTGAGATGTCTTAGGAGCTGAGACATTATTAATGGTAGCAGGGATCAGAGGTAGCAACTTGATATTCACCTTAGAGAAAGGATCTCAACTTTCCCAGATGATGAGACTTTGAGAAAGTTTACTGAGGGATCAAGTATCCAAACTTTTCAAGGATTTAACTCCCACCCTCTTGCCCATATGTGTCTTACCAAAGTGTTTAAAGTAGTTGCTATTCCCTACTCCCCTGGTCCATCAGGGTAGTGGATCCATGGGATGTCTTGTAGAATGTAAAGACAATCTGTTCCCTGTGGAACAGAATAGGACAAAGTTGGAGAGTTGATATAACCTGAAGAAAAACAAATAAAGAATATTGTTGGCCATTCCATCTAAGAGAAAAATGCTTCTGGTAATCTCTACTAACAGGTACATAGAGCAGAAATGATTTTTCATATCAATATTCACGTATCGGATGTCAACAGATACACTGATTTACTCCAGCAATGAAACCACACCTAGAACAGAAGCTGCAATTGTATTCACCATCTGATTAGTTTACAATAATCCTCTGTCATTATTCAGTACCCACCTGTCTTCTTCATAGACTAAACAGATGAATTGAATGGGTATGTGATGGAAATCACCAGCCCTCCATAGCTGTAGAGTCCTTTATAGCATACTCATCTCAGCTCTCTCTCTCTAGAATGCAGTAGAACTTTGGATTTACCATTCCAGAATTTAGAATCAGTTCTTTTTTTAAAGATTTATTTTGTATTTATTTCAAAGACAGAGTTACAGAGAGAGGTAGAGACAGAGAGAGAGACTGGTCTTCCATCCACTGGTTCACTCCCCAGATGGCCGCAACGGCTGGAGCTATGCCGATCCGAAGCCAGGAGCCAAGCGCTCCTTCGGAGTCTCCCACGTGGGTGCAGGGGCCCAAGGACTTGGGCCATCTTGTACTGCTTTCCCAGGCCATAGCAGAGAGCTGGATTGGAAGAGGAGCAGCTGGATCTAGAACCGGCACCCATATGGGATGCTGGTGCTTCAGGCCAGAGCTTTAACCCGCTGCGCCACAGCAACGGCCCCTAGAATCAGTTCTAATGTCTTCTATTTGTCCTCACTCTACAGATCAGATAATCTATATTGTTATGCTTCCATTTGCTAAGGGTGTCTCCTTCAACTGCAGAATTTGGAATACAGCCATGCAGAGAGTTCAGAGCCCAACTGGATGCACTGGGTGGGCCTGAGCCAAAATACCACTAACCAGTGCATCTCTATAGACTCCTACTCTGGTGAGTACACAATGATGGCATATTGGGCCTCTAGGAGCTGGGATTGAAGAACCAAAGTGACTCCATTTTAAAACAAACAAACAAAAAAGCAGCCTCCCTTTCCCATAGCAGACCCAAGTCCTTGTAAAAAAGCAGGCATTCAGGCATTCCAGAGATATCAAAGCTTACCAGGGACAGCTAGCTCGGTAGACCAAGGACAGCACAGGAGAGATTGCTAAACAAAGTAACTCCCTGCGCCCAAAGCTCCGCTGCTGTAAGCCCCCGCTGTAACTCCCTGTACCCAAAGCTTCCATGCTGTATGTAACTCTTTTTTCCTGCTGATGTAGCCCTTTTTTTCCTTTAAAAACTCTCCCAAACAAAGACCGAGGCCTCACTCCTTCCTCCGCTGTGCCGGTTGGTTGGATGGCGTCCCTGTCGCGGCTTGTACTCCCGAATAAACCTTGCTTTTGCAGTTTGGTGTGATTGACTCTCTGGGGGTCTCTGCGGGGATCTAATGATCTGGGCACAACAGGATCTTTTCAGAGCCAATGTCCAGAAATCCTCCCAAATCTAGTTATTTCCTCTTCTTCAGGGCATTATAACCTTGATAAATTGTTCTGCATCTTTTGGGGAAGGAAAGAAGGAAATTTTACAATATCAATGGTTAGATATGTAAATATAAATCAGAAAAAAACCTGCAATCTTTTTGGCACATATAGTACCTCATTCTTTTGTATCTGCTCCCATGGGACCTGCCAGGATTTGAGGTTGGTGATAGGTCAAAAGCAATGAAAGGTATTGAGGATGAGTCTTGAGGAATAGCCCCATTTCTCCACAGGATGAATCATCAAAGGTACCAAATTCGGACAGAGAGGACAGGCTGCTTCTTCTGGGTAAGGAGACAGAGGACTCCAAGGAGTTCAGCTTTCTTAGAATCTGTCTACGTGTTGCTATCTCAATTTTCAGATCAGTGTATTGCAATCAATGTCTTAACTTTAATCATAGATCTTTTCTAATGTTTGTTTGAAAGTTGGCATGGCAAAGAAAGAGAGATCTTCTATCTTCTGACTCACTCCACATACCCACAACATCCAGGGCTAGACCAGGCCAGAGCCAGGAGCCAGAAAGTCCATCTAGGTCTCTCACATGAGTGGCTGGAACCCAATGATGCGGGCCATCATTTGCTTCCTCCCAGGATGCATTAACAGGAAGCTGGGACTCAAACTGGGCACTCCATCCAAACTGGGATACGGGTGACTCAAGCAAAGGCCCACCCACTGTGCAAAGTGTCTGGCTCTAATCATAGATGTTGAGTTAAACTGGTGTTGCAATCGAGCTACCCATGGAATGAGTTTTTTATTTAGTTTTCAGAAATATCAGACCCTATAGCTATGAAAGATAAGGATTTGTTTCAAAGTAAACACAGAAATTTTCTAATTCCTTGCCTGGATTTTCAGTTAATTATATTTTATTTCCAGCTCTTCCCAGGCACTTGGAAGTAATTCACAAATCCCATGTTTCTATATTTCTTCTTTCTGCTCTATTGTCCTATGATATCAGCTTCGGGTAACTTAACATCTTGCCTTCTATAGATGTTTGATGTCAGACACTACTAGTGTCCCATTTACCATTGGAAATAGGGTCATTAATGCTTCATAAAACAGATCATCAGGGGGCCGGCATTGTGGCATAATGGGTAAAGCCACCACCTGCAGTGCCAATATCCCATATGGGTGCCGGTTCGAGTCCTGGCTGCTTCACTTCCTATCCAGCTCTCCACTATGGCCTGGGAAAGCAGTAGAAGATGGCCCAAGCCCTTGGGCCCCTGCACCCAAATGGAAGACCCGGAAGAAACTCCTGGCTCCTGGCCCCTGGCTTCGGATCAGTGCGGCTCCGGCCACTGTGGTCAATTGGGAAGTGAACCAGTGGATGAAAGACCTCTCTCTCTCCTCTCTCTCTCTCTCTCTCTCTCTCTGCCTCTCCTTCTCTCTCTGTGTAACTCTTTCAAGTAAAATAAATACATCTTTTTAAAAAAATAAAAAAAAAAAAACAGATCACCAGTACCAAACTCACACCCTTAAGGTTCTATCTCTAGAATCACTTCCAGGGCCAGTAACTGGATCAGGAGCCACTCAGGGAATTGAACCTCACAAATGTGGAGAAGTAAAGGCTGGAAAGGAAGTCAGATCATAAAAAGTGTAATTAACATATCTGCCTGAAGCAGGAGCCCAGGTGAACATGCTGGAGTTTGCAGGAAAACCCAAACAGCTAGCTTTCAGCCACAAAAGTGGGACCGTGAAGGGCAACTCTGGGAGGAGTTTATGGGAAGCCCCTCCCTCCACGCAGTTATCACTTGTGTGAGTCCACAACCAAGCACCTGGTGGTGGGCCTGGGGTCACTGCTGGCAATTTGAAGTTATTTTCAAATTTTTAAAATTAGTTTTGTTTGAGGGGCAGAGAAAGAGTCAGACAGGCAGGCAGACAAAGCAGACTCCCATTCACAGGTCTACTACCCAAAAACCCACAAGAGCGGAAGTTTGGAGCAACAGTGCACATATCCTGCCTGGGTAGCAGGGAATCAAACTTTGAGAAATTACCTGCTGCCTCCCAGGGTGCACATTACCTGGACTCTGGAATTCAAACTCAAACCTTGGAACTGTGATGCGGAATGTGGGCATCCCAAACCACAGCTTAACCACTAGGACAAACACTAGCCCATGGATTTATTTTTAAGTGGTTTTCAAAAATAATAGCATAGGGGCTGGCACTGTGGTGTAGAAGTTTAAGCCTCTGCCTGCAGTGCCGGCATCCCAAATGGGATCTGGTTCAAGTCCCAGCTGCTCCACTTCCTATCCAGCTCCCTGCTAATGCACCTGGGAAAACAGTTGAAGATGGCCCAAGTACTCGGGACCCTGCACCCACATGGGAGACCTGGAAGAAGCTCCTGGCTCCTGGTTTTGGCTTGTCCCAGTCCTGGCAGCCATTTGGGGAGTGAACCAACCCAGGAACGATTCTCTCTTTTTCTCTCCCTCTCTCCTCTCTCTGCATCTTTGCCTTCCAAATAAATAAATACATCTTTTTAAAAAACATCATAAAAGTAACCAACATTTCTTTCAGAAATTCTCATAAAGTAAAGGGTAGAACACACAATACTAAGAGTGGCTGGTTACTTACGTTGCGAGCTTAAGTGGCTCCATCATGTGGCAGGAGCAAAACCATTTATGCTTCACTTAGTTCACAACTAAATTATAAAAACCTTAATTTGTTTTGAGTTTGTTGAGAACTAAAAATCTTCTAATTTTATTCATAATATAAGGATCATTAATTTTTATATCATATCAGTTAAATTTCACATAATCTATGCTGTCCAACTTCATATTTTAGACTATCATTCTTCTCAAAACACATTTTTAATTCTCATAAAAACATGAAGAACCATAAAAATTCTACAGATGCACACGTTCCAAGTACGATAAATACCATTTATAATTTTTAAGTCCATCTTTAAATTAATACTTGTTACTATGATAATTTCCATGCAAGTCTTGAAAGTGTCTTAAAAGTGATTACAACATGAGAATTGGTAAGAATTGTGTTGCAGTAATTATCATGAATTTCCTGTGACTCTGAGAATCTAATGTATTAATAAATTCCTTTGAAAAATAAAAAAGTGATTGCAACCTTGTTTCTCTGTTAAAAGAAAATTATTCAAAAAGAGGCAGAGACTTAATAAAATGTGGAAGTTCTTTGCTTTCTAAATTCTTCAGTCAGAAATCCAAATAAACTAAATTCTTGGAATATGTAAAGCATAATTTATTACCTTGTAAATTTCAAAGTAGCATAATGATAACCTGATTACTAAAATTCATTGTTACCAAATTGTAACTTTTTAATTCCTTGGGGAAGTATTCCATCTTGACTCTAGCCATTATATATTTAAGGAAATAATAATTCACAGGCAAAGCATGGTCAGCACTGACCACACCAGATGGGGATTCTTCACATCAGTTTCCTAGAGCTGAGGAAAACTGTAAAATCCCCAGCCCCCAGCCTCTAACTCTCCACGTTCTCAGCAAGAAAATTTATTAGTGATAATTTGTTTTCAATGTATCCTATTAATAGGTAGGAGAAGGAGTGCCTTGGAAAGGGCTTAAAAGAGCAAATGCATTGTCATTTGAGGCGAAGCCTGATCCTTGTCTCAAAATAGCATAAGCTTGCCACCAATGGGGTGGCCCCCTCTGGATTTACTAAAAACATTAATTTTCTTACTCATATTTACGAGGACCAATTACTCAAACAAGCTACTGTCACAGAGAGATTCCTCTGACCATAGGCAAACCCCCAGTAGCCCAAAGCCATTTGGAAGACTACTGTGGATGGATTTGTTTTGTTGTTGTTGTTTTTGAGTGAAGGAAAAAACACTAATGAATTGGGAAAAG